TATGCAATGCAGGCAGATTATGGCTGGTTGGTGCTGTACATAGCTTCCTGAAAACATCACAGCTCCCTGCCTCGGTATTCCTTTCAAGAACCCTGATGCAAACAGTTGATGGGCTGTAGGGAGGTATTTGTTAGATATCAAAATGCATTTATGGCTTGTCGTGAGTCTGGAGGAGTGCTATGCACACGGACCGCTCTAGGTAATGCCCACATGTGATGCTGAGCTTCCATAACTGAAGCAACAGAAATCCAATGAATGAATGGGGCAGGCCGGGGACAGTGAGGCTATGCAGAAAAGCGCTAGATGATGCTGGATGTCCTCCAGCCAGGAAATGAGATGGGATGTATCTGACTTGCTGCAGCTTCTAATGCACATTGTGGGAAGCTCACAGTGTGCAGTGAAATCAGAGTAAGCAATTTCAGTTCAGTAGAGGAGGCGGTACAACAGTGCAAGACTGAAGCGAAGGACGGGGTTGAGCTTTAAATATGTAGCATGGTGTATACTTAGGGGTTCATTTATAAATGTGCCGTCAGGAGTATAGCTGGGAGGAAGCTGTTTGCATCGCACTAGCGCCCATAGATGGCTCTGACGAGTATAGGAAAGTCCCTTTACTCACCAGCGCCACCTAGGGGCACTAGTGCTGCCTGCACGTCATCCACCCGGGTACATGCCAGATGGAACTTTTATAAATGAACCCCAAAGTATACACCCTGCTACACACTGAAAGCTGAAATCCGGGGTTCAGTTATAAATGTGCCGTCAGCAGTATAGCTGGGAGGAAGCTGTATGCATGGCACTAGCGCCCCTAGATGGCTCTGACGAGTATAGGAAATTCCCTTTTATAAATGAACCCCCAAGTATACACCCTGCTACACACTGAAAGCTGAAATCCGGGGTTCAGTTATAAATGAACCCCTAAGTATATACCCTGCTACACACTGAAAGCTGAAATCCGGGGTTCAGTTATAAATGAACCCCCAAGTATACACCCTGCTACATACTGAAAGCTGAAATCCGGGGTTCGTTTTTAAATTAAACCCCAAGTATACACCCTGCTACATAGTGAAAGCTGAAATCCGGGGTTCGTTTATAAATTAACTAGGGCTGTGCAAATTAACGATTAATTTCTCGATTAATCGTTAATCTTTTTGATCGATTAAAAATGTTTTGATCGATTAAAAATTTTTTGAAACTTTCTGCACGAGCACCAGCCAAGGCATTGGCCTATACACATACAGCACAGCAATGAAGTAATAAAATGAACTAGGATCACACTAATCCAGCACGTTATTATTCTGAGTTGCCCCACTCAAGCGGCGGCCATATTGAGTGGGGCAACTCAGAATAATAACGTGCTGGATTACTGTGATCCTAGTTCATTTTATTACTTCATTGCTGTGCTGTATGTGTATAGGCCAATGTAGTTGGATCTGTATGTGCGTTATAATTAATCGAAATTAATCGATTAATCGATTTTAAAAAAATTCGATTAATCGAACACGAAAATTTTAATCATTACCAGCCCTAAAATTAACCTCTAAAAATAAATCCTGCTACATAGTGAAAGCTGAAATCCGGGGTTAGTTTATAAATGAACCCCTAAAAATACACCCTGCTACATAGTGAAAGCTGAAATCCGGGGTTCGTTTTTAAATGAAACCCCAAGTATACACCCTGCTACATAGTGAAAGCTGAAATCCGGGGTTCGTTTTTAAATGAAACCCCAAGTATACACCCTGCTACATAGTGAAAGCTGAAATCCGGGGTTCGTTTTTAAATGAAACCCCAAGTATACACCCTGCTACATAGTGAAAGCTGAAATCCGGGGTTCGTTATTAAATGAAACCCCAAGTATACACCCTGCTACATAGTGAAAGCTGAAATCCGGGGTTCGTTTATAAATTAACCTCTAAAAATAAATCCTGCTACATAGT